TTTTCTCTAAAGCAGCAGTCTCCAGTAGAAATTCTACTGTTAAAGAAATGCTTTGTATCTGCGCTGTCGGATTTGGCCTTCACTTGCCACAAAGGAACACTAAAATATAGCTTGTGTGACTGAGATACTAAGTGTTGAGTGTTAATCTAATTTTAATTAAAATGTGGCTAGTGGCTACCATGTTGGATAGTTCTGCTCTAGAAAATACATTGAATAAACTTTGGCTTCAAAACTCCTTGTGGAGCTCTCATTCTATTAAACTTCTTCAGTTTATTTTAAAGAATATTACAGAAAGTAGACTTCTTTTTTTTTTTTTCCTCAATTTCTTTCTTTCTTTCTTTTTTTAAGGTAAACAGATAAGCAAGCCTCTGCTTAGGAAAGAGATGCTTTTGTAAGCTCAATATTTCAGACCAAAGTGTCCATTTGTCTTCAATAATATCTAGCTCTGAAATTTTGTTGCTGTTGGCACTTAATGAAGCCTCCATTTCTCTGCTTCAAAGATGGTCTCGAAGCATATTAGCAGTTTGTGTGGTGCGCACAGCGTCAAGCAAACAGCCACATGCGTTAAGGTCTGTGCTTAACAGTCCTGCCTCAGGATCCCTGCAGATTCCTTGAGTATCCTTTTAAACACTCTAGTGTCTGTTCTATGAGAGGAACAGATGCATCCTTCCATATATTGCAATCAGCAAAGTTCAGGAGATGGAAGGCCAGGCTATATTCATATTTCTTTCACAGTGCTGAGTTTATCAGTAGCTTTTAAACCAGTTTTCTCAATGGCTAAAGTTTCTTTTTTTTTCAAAAATAGTTTCCTATGTTAGCTGTTTGAGATCAGGAACTATTGAGCTTTCCTTTGAATAAATTTGCTTTCCTGTTTATAATCCTTTTTTAATGCAGTGCTTTAAGGTATACTAGTATTTCTATTTAAAAACCCAATTTTCAGAAGTTTCTATCTTTATGAAGAAATGGTTGTTTTCCTTTTTATAACTTTGAAAACACGCAATGACTTTAAACTTAAAGAAATGTTTTGGCTCACAGAATTGTCTTTCTTTCAGAAGGAGTATGAACTTGTATCATGATTGGGAGTAGGGGGAAACACCTACAAATACATACATAACTTATATCTGTATCGCACGCACACACAAACATACAATTCACCCAGTTAAGTGGAAATAACAACTCCATTACAATGTACCTGCATACGTGTGCCTGTAAATACATAATACAGATGTAATTTTATTTCACTGAGAACAAAATTGGATGAAATGCTGTAGAGAGAGTGCTGAACATCACTAGAATACATTCATTCTTAGTGTTTTTTTCTCAATGGTTTACCTATCCAAACTTTCCCCAGCGGAAGGTGTGACTGGTAGTTTCAAAATCTCATTTGGTTGTTTCTAGTGATAGGGAGCTCACTGTTTCACCTGGTACACATGCATCCTTTGTCAGCTAGCAACTGCTTTTAGAAAAGTATCAATATGCGTGGAATTTCTCCTTTAATGACAACTATTCATTGGTTCTATTTCTGGCCATTTTAATAAATATATTTTATTTAAAAGATCTGAATATAAAAAATGTAAAAAAAAAAAACTATGTCAATGTGTAAGGGCAAATTAATCGTAAACCAATGATTATATAAATATTCTATTTGCCCAACTCAGATAAAGTTTGAAAACTCCTTTTTGTCTTCAACTCATCCCATGTTTATTGACTCACAAACCATTGCAAATGTTGCCAATCAGTATCACCCACGAGGGTCCCTCCTGTGACTTGCTCTTGAGTAGGAAGCCTGAATCAGGACCTCCACCCAATTCAAGGGTAGAAGGGAGACAGGTGAGAATGCAGGGAAAGGGTGAAAAGAGGACAGAGGAGAGGGGCAAAGCAGGGCAGTGAGCAAAGCTGATTCTGGGGGAGAAAAGACACACTCAGAGACCAAGACCTTGGGCATCAATCCCTGTTTCTACCTGGGGCAGCAAGAATATCAGAAAAAGACATTTCAAGCCTTCTCATCATGCAGCTTCTGCAGAAAGGAGCTGGATCAAAGTCCCTGCACTCAGTCTTTGGGTACAACGCCCTGAACCAAGGTGGTTTGGATGACAACCACCAGCTGTAGAAACTTGCTCTCTGTGTCCTTAAAGCCATGGCCTCTCTTCTTGGAGTGAATCAGCTTCAAAGAACCCAGTGTTCTGGGCAATTCTGGTGCCACAGATATCCAGACATCTGAGGAACTCATCTTCTAACTTCTTTTTCTTTCTCCTTTTGGCACCAAATATATTCCCATTTATTTATTTATTTTAAAGCAAGTTATAAAGACCCAGTTAGCCAGCTTTATGTGTTTAAGCCTAAACTTAACAGTACATATTTAAGCAATTGTCAAAACTTACTAAGTTGCCAGTGTTCATGCACAACTCGAAAACAGATTTAATTTATATTAATTCAGAAATGTATCACCATTAATGCATTACTCCTTCACTATTCAATGTTGGGAAACACTGAATTATTTTTGTGGCAGTCCCATCCTGGCAATGATAACTTCCTAGCAGGCTGACAGTGTTCAGTTCACATTTCGAACACAATGGGAAGCAGATCCTTGCTGGAGTTAGTTACAAGCTCATCTTACATACCTGAGTCGTGGGTCACCTGAATGAGGCTTAATAAAAAAGCAAAAAGCAAATAGAGATTTACAATAATTTTACTTATTTATTTATATTCATTATTCTTATTATTTACATTTGCTATAGGGCATGTGAGCTCACTGTCTCAGAGAGACAGAGACAGAGAAAGAGACAGAGAGAAAGTGAGAAAGCAAGCCATCAGGTCCAGGACTCAAACTCTGGTCGTCTGTGTGAGAGTCCAATGTCTTAACCACCACGCCACCTGCCTGCTGCCTCTACAACAGTTAAAGACCAAAATAAAAGGTCCTATTATGTGGTCCCTACAAACTCAAAACTCTAATAAATAGGGGGTCTGAGGAGCTGCTTATAAATACTTTAGGTTAAATACAATTATACTGAATATCAGCTTTTCTGAGCTGGAGGTGAGAGACATGGCTGAGGCCCCTTCCTCCTCTGTCAGCCCTCCGACCTCAGACTTGTTCTTTTTTTTTTTTTTTTTTTTTTTTTTTAGTTTTTTTTTTTTTTTTTTTTTTTTTTTTAGGTTTTTGCTATAGGGCACGTGTGCTTGCCAGAGAACCAGAAAGCAAGAAATCATCCCCTGGGGAGATGGCCATGCTGCAATCCTTTCTCCTCCATTTTTCTCTCAGGATCTTGGGCACACCCGGCATGAGTTTAAGCCACCAGGTCTGGGACTTGAACTACAGTTGACTAGGTGGGAGTCCAGTGACATAGCCATTACCCTAACTGCTGGTCCCCCTCAATCTTGTTCTAACAGCCTGTGAAAGCATGGTGGACTGAAACCTGCAGGTGGTACAGTGGTTGTGGTACTGGACTCCCACATAGCCAATCATGTTTCAAGTCTTGAACCTGGAGGCTTGAACTCATGCCAGGCACATATGTGTGAATGCTCAAAATCCTAGGAGGAGAAGGGATTGTGGAGTGGCCACACTCCTGGGGGGGGGTGACCTCTCACTTTCCCTCCCATTTTTTCTCTCTGTCTCTGTGGCAAATGCACATGCCCTATGGTAAAAACCTTAAAAACAATAAAATACTGTGGTGCACTGGAGCCAGCAGATGGCATGGTGGTTAATGTGCTAAACTCCTACATGACTGACTATAATTCAAGTCCAGACCTGGCAGCTTGAAAATCACACCAGGTGCATGTTTATGCATGCCTAAAATCCCAGGAGAATGGAGGAGAAGGGATTATGGTGCAGCCATCCTCCTGGTGGGGAATTTCTCACCGTTCCTCTCACTATCTCTGTCTGGCAAGAGTGCAGGGCACCTTACAGCAAAACCCCCACAAAACCCCAAAACCAAAACAAAACACAAAAAAACATCAAGTCCTAGGCATGCAGATACTTGCTTCCCCTAAGGGCGCTAAATGCATATCAGAAACTGGCACTGACATGGCATCTGGATTAAAAACCCTGAGAATAGGAAGAAGCAGAGAGGAAATTCAAACAAGTACTTGAGGCATGTGGTGTTATTAGATGCTAAAAAGTAGGACAACCATAATAGGGCAAGGAAGGACTTAACGTAGAAGGCAGAAGCCATTTCCACCTCTCTTCAAGTTCAGCTTCACATTCTATAACCCGGGTGATGTCTTTAGGGAATTTTTTGTTGGAAGGGACTCATTTTTATTAGACTTCTTCGAAGACCCATTTGGGGATGTTTTTGAGAAATGAAGAGTTCCCTGAAGAATCAGGAGCCAAGGTCTGAGTTGTTTTTCTCTCCTTTCAGTGGGTTTCTGTCTTCAGGAGTGAATTTTCATATTTTGTTACAGGACTTACATCATTCAGTTCACTAGGTCACGGGGTCTCACTTCATTCTCTTCCACATCATTTGGAGATAATGGGATGGGCAACTTCAAATCTGTATCAGTCTATACTAAAATAGTTAATGGCAGAAACATAACCACAAACAGAATTGTAAAGAATGGTCAAGAAACAGTCAAGGTGGAAGAAGATGGTCAACTCAAGTGCCTGAGGACAGATGGTGAGCAACAGCTGTGCTTAGATAACAAGTAACTCTACGGTGGCCTTTAGCAGAAATGTTACACTGAAAGGGCACCATTCATGGACTGACAGGAACTGGTTTTGAGGATTTTAAAGTTCTAAAATTCTTAGCGACCAAAATGTGAACAGGCAATATAAATCAAGATTATACCTCACATTAAGTAAAATACTGCCTACAAAAATCTTACTTTGCCACGTGGATAAGGGGGATCATTACTAATTTCATGATAAAATTTCTGTCTACTTATATATTTTGTATAAGATTCTGACAAACAATGATTTTAGTGAATCAATATATAACTCGATTTACAAAAACTCAGTTCACACTTGATTTTATTTCTCTTCTGAATGATCCATTCACTTTACACCAAATATCAGCTAGCTGACTCCTAGGAGGTGCTATCCAATGACTTCTGATGGCTCTCTTTGAGTAACGTCTAGCTTTGACATTTTGTCACTATTGGCACTAAACGAAGCTTCAGTGTTCATCCCTTGGAGATGGTATTCATGCACATTAGCAGTGTGTGGTACACAGATGCTTCTCACTCCGTGCTGGAACTTGAAACAAAGGGACATTCCTGAAAGACAATTAAGACATGTCATAACAACAAATATCTAGTATGAAATATAAATTATTTTAAATGTGATGCCAAAACCATTTATACACACTGATTTTATTATGGCCTTTTTATGTTTTGATTTTGCTTATTTATGTAAATCCATGGGAGATACAGTTAATATTTTTTTTTTGAGAGATTTTTTGCTTTAGGGCACTTGTGCTCACCAGAGAGACAGAAACAAAGAAATCACACTACAGGAGGAATGGTGACACCACAATACCTTCTCCTCCATTCTCCTCTCGGGATTTTGGGCATGCACACATATGCACCCAGTGTGAGTTTTAAGTTGCTGGGTCCGGGACTTGAACTGCTGACAGCTATGTAGAAGTCCAGCGACATAATAATTATTCTATATCCTGTTCCTGATACAGTTGATCTTACAGATCTAGATAATATCTGAATGGACAAATATGTACAACTCAGAGTATGTATTAATCTCTTTTTTAAATTTTTTTTTGCCATAAGGTGTATGCACTTGCCAGAGAGAGGAAAAATGAGAACTGCCCCCTCCCCCAAATGGGAGGGTGGTGATGGCCATGACAAAATCCCTTTTTCATTCTCCTCTCAGGATTTTTGGGCACAAATGCACATGTGCCCAGCGTTTTTTCCAAGTCTTTGGGTCTGGGACTTGAACTATGCAGTTGATTGTATGGGATCCAGCCACCTTAACCACCATACCACCTGGCTGGCCCTATTTATTTTTATGGTATAATTTTAGAGACTTATACTTTTATAGAAAGAGCAATGTTGACTGAATCATAGTTGTTATCTCCAACATTTTGCATTGTCCTCAAGCACCAAAACTATGTACCTTCTAATAAGGCAGCACTGTTTATCTGGAATTGTTGCTAGCTTTATAGTGCTAGGAAAGGGTGATAGAGGAAGAGTGAAAAGGATGGAGAAAATACAGAGTTTTGGTACATTACTTTAGATGTATTCTCTGCCAATCCATGTCACTGTTAACCATGGTTATTTTATATAGCAAATGCTTTGAAAGAAGCTGAGAATCTCTTGGCAAAATTTTCTAGGCAGCTAAACCATTTCTTGGCTACAAATTAAATTTCAAGTTTAATTTTCCAGTTCTTAAAGTAGTAACTTGATGGAAAGTTTGCTGGATCAAGAATGGATTCAGATGGGGACTTGTTAGTTTCTTATTTTCTGTTCTTTCAGGTAGAACATAAAAAAGTCAAAGGACAGAATTCTAAATATTGAGATTTCTGATAACCAATTGTTTTAATCAGATTCCTTATGTAAATAAATTTAAAAATCATGAGTTTGATTTAATATGTGGAGGTCACTAACAGAATACTATATATATATATATTTTTTTTTTTTTGAGAGGTTTTTGCTGTAGAGCACATGCGTTCACCAGAAAGACAGAGAGAGACAGAGAGACAGAAAATGAGAAATCAATCCTCAGGGGGGATGGCCACACTGCAGTCCGTTCTCCTCTCAGGATCTTGGGCATGCATGCACATGCACTCAGCGTAAGTTCAAGCCCCTGGGTGCTGGACTCTAATCCCAGTCGACTACATAGGAGTCCAGTGACATAGCCATTATACCAACTGCTGGTTTTCAGAATACTGTATTTTAAATATAGAAGTATTGTTAATATTTTCTGACTTTTGGTTAGTAAATTTGAACTTGCTGACATTTTCAGTTGACTCCTTTTTAACATTGTTTGAGCCATCACCATTTACCTTGTTCAGTTCCTTCCTTACTTCTGAAGAGATACATGCTAATGCCTTTCTATTTCTAAATTTTGTTTCAAAAATTAGGATTTTTGAAACCCTTCAATTTGAATTATCTGTTTTTATTTATTTATTTATTTTCAGTTGCCAGAAGGTGCAAGAACTCACCAGAGAAAGACAGAGAGAGAGAGATGTAAATGGAGCAAGTACCACCCAAAGGGACATGGTAATGCCATAATACGTTCTACATTTCTCCATCTCTTCATGATTTTGGTCACAGGCATGAATATGTCCAAGGTGTCTTGCCAGCTACTGGGTCCAGGACTTGAACCACACCGTTGGCCATGTGAGATCTCTTAATCTAGGCCATAGGTTGGCTCCTGCTAAATATTTTGACAAAAAATTTCCAGTGGATTTTAAACAAATTATAACCATAGTTAGAAGACTAAAAATGAGGAAAATGTCACAGTAAGAAATTTAGGATGATTTGCATAGAAGTTCTTCAAAATATTTTCAAAATATGATTTGTAATTACTCTTAAAAAAGAGATGTCACATAGTACCATGCTATTTTTAAAATTTTTACATTCTATATCAGCATTGTAACAAAAATATTATATTTAAAGTACTCAAAGCAGATAATTATAAAACCATTTAAAATTTTTGACAACTGTAGCTTTTATTTTTACTGGTAAATATCTCATTTTCTAATAATTAAGCATTTCATGTAACATATATAACCAAATTCTAAGCATAGCTCTGCTCCATAGATTGTTGAATTTAGTGAAAATATTACAAGATAGGGCAAAGTCATTTCAGATCCCATAGACATTTCAAAGACAAGAAGAAAATATTTTAAATATCTGTATGCCAATAATTCCTTAACTTAAAATAGAGAAATTTCTTGAATTAAATGAATTACTGAAACTCAGAAAAAACAGAGCATCTAAATAATCTTATTTTTAAAGAGTTTATATTAATAATTAAAATCTTTCCAACAAAAAAAAAAGTTCTGAGTCTAGGTAGCTTCTCTAGTGAATTATATACAATTTTTCAAGGTGAAAAGAGGCATGAAACATACACTACCTTTTCTGGGAAATAAAGGAGGAGAAAGTAATTTTCATCTTACTCAATAACATAAGGGGTTAACTTAGTACCCAAATCAGGCAATCCATAATAAGCAAAAAACTGTAGACCAATAGTTCTCATCAAATAGATGCAAATCTTTCACAAAATATTAGCTAATAGAATTCATACATACATATGATGGACAACATATCACAAACAAAAGTTCTCTTAAATTCATTTGTTCATGATCATTATAGACTGGAAATGGGTCCCATTTCATATAAACATATTGCAAATATTTTTCCCTGACCTGTGTCTAATATATATCTTCTTTTTTTTATTCCAACTTAGTCCTAGAATAACACACTTTAAAATTTTATAAAATTGATTATTTTATTTAAAATTAATCTCTGTTCATCATTATAGTGTACTGCATGATTTTGCCCTGTAAGAATACACTGCATATCAGTGAAGTCAAAGACATTCCCGTATGCATTATCATCAATGGATAACTTTTCATTTCTGTGTCTATTAAATGTGTTGCTTGTTTTTTTTTTTCCTTTTCCCCTTTCTTCTACCCTTTATTACTCACCTTCTCCTATATTGTCTCTAGTATCTACATACAGTTGCCCTTCCTGCTATTATACCTTCTAATCTTTCAGTTTCTGCTGTAGACTGCAGGCATTTGGTATATGTTAAGTGGGGACGTACAATGCCTCTCTTTCATAATCTGGCTTGTTTTATTTAACATTAAATCTTTTATATTTGTCTTCTTTGTATCAAATGTCAGGATCTCATTGTTTTTCATGACTGAGTAGTATTCCATACTGTACATGTACACTTGTTTAAAAATCCACTCATCTGTTCTTGGGTACTTGGGTTGATTCCATGTTCTAGCAATTGTGAATGATGATGTAATAAACATGTATGTGCAAGTATTTTTCTGAGTGTTTTCCTATCCTTTAGGTAGATATCTAAGAGTGGTCATATGATAGTTCATATGATAGTTCTGTTTGTGGGTTTACGAGGCACCTTTATATTGTTTTTCACATTGGTGGTACTAATTTATACATTCCCACCAACAATGTAGGAGAGTTTCTTTTCACTGTAGCCTCATCAGCATTTATCGTTCTTTATTTTTAATTTTTTTTAATCTTAGTCATTCTGCTTGGGGTTGAGTAGTATCTCCTTGTGGTTTAGATTTGCATTTTCCTTATGATAAGAGAAGTTCAGCATGTCTTATATGCTTTTTGTCTGTTCAGCTCATTTTCCTGTCTTTCAGTTGAATTGATTATTTGTTTATTTTTGCTGGTAAGTTGCTTGAGTTCCCTGTATTTTCTGGTGATCATGCCTTACTTGAGGCATAGTTTGCAAATATATTCCTCTATTCTGAGGATTATCTCACTCTAATTATTGTTTCTTCTACTCTGCATAAGCTTCTTAGTCTGATGTAGTACCACTCTCTATTTTGGGGATTATTGCCTATACTTTGGCAGTCTTATTTAAGAAGTCTTTGTCTACTCCATGATGTCCAAGAGTTTCCTTTGTGTTTTTCACCAGTAGTTTTATAGATTGAGTTTTATGTTTAGATCCTTGATCCATTCTGAGTAGTTGATTTTTGTTAATAGTGAGAGGTAGGGTCCAGTTTTATTTTTCTGCTAATGAATAGACAATTTTTCCAGCTCCATTTGCTGAAAAGATTTTCTTTTCCCCACTGCTTTCTTGTGCCCTTTGTCAAAAATCAGTTGGCTGTATGTTTTGGGATTTCTTTTTGGGCTCTCAGTTCTGTTCCATTGGTCTACCTGCCTGTTTCTGTGCCAATACCACACTGTGTTGATTATCACAGCTTTGTAATATGTTTTGAGGTCAGGAAGGGAGATGCCTTTATTCTTTGTGCACAATATTGCTTTGGCAATATAGGGATTTTTATGATTCCGGACAAACTTTATGATTTTTTTTCTATTTCTGTGAGGAATATCTCTGGTAATTTCATTGGAATTGGATGAATTTATAGATTAATTTGGGCAGGTTTTTCATTTTGATTGTATTAATTCTTTCAATCCAGGAACATGGGATGTCTTTTCACTTTTTTGTATCATTTTAAATTTATTTTTAAAAGTTCTTTTTAAAATAGTTTTCCTTATAGTGGTATTTCACTTGTTTGGTTAGGTTTACTCCTAGATATCTGACTATCTGCACT